ATGAGTATTCCAGAACACTTAATTGTGCTCATTAAGAATCTGTATCTGGACCAAGAAGCAGTTGTTCGAACAGAACATGGGAACACCTAAATCAAACGATGTATTGCATTAGGCAAATCTGCTGCACGACCTTTTTTAAGTGTTGAAAAGCAAAGATGTCAGCTTGGGGACTAAGGTGCGCCTGACCCAAGCCATGGTGTAATTTAGATGTGTAACTAAAAAGGGGGAGTAGTTAATCTTTCAATTCAGGAACAGACAATCCCAGAGCCATCAAGTAGAGCATGAGATCCCACCTAGAATCCTACCCAGAAAAGTGGTGACAGCAGAGATGGTGGCAGAGGTGATGGCACAGAGAGATAGCGCAGCTGTGGGCTTTAGGCTCATGGTCTGAATAAGGCTGTTTGCCAGCGGGTAGGAGACTGGCTTGCAGAATATGTATGCCCTTAGAACATTTAAATGAATAGATATTTTTTGTTTTATATGTGTACTTCAATTATTTTTGCTTTGTTCATTTGTGAAATATATGATGTAAAAGGGAAGTCACAGGAAGAAGTAGAATAACTGTTGCTGCAGGGAGGGGATTTTAGTCACTGAAATGAAACTGAGATGAAATATAATTTGTTGAATGTAAAAAAAAAAGAAAGAAGTAAGAAGTACAGCTAGAATGTTCCTTACGAGTAAGACTTTGTCTCTTATTCTTTGATATGTTATTAGGAGAGATTGGTCCCCTGGAGAAGGGCCTCATGAAAAGTGAAGGGTCAGTAAAAAAGAGGAAGATCTTCAAGGAGATGGACTGATATAATGGCAGCTACAATGGGCTCAAACATAACAACAATTGTAAGGATGGCACAGGACCGAACAGTGTTTGTTGTTCTATTGTGCATAGGGTTGCTACAAGTCAGAATTGATTCAACTGCACCTAACAACAATAACACCTCAAACAAAGGTGCACTGGTGGCACAACAAGTGCTAACCACAAAAAAAGTCTGTTAGTTTGAATACACCCAGCAGTTCCAGAGAAATATCTGGCAGTGTTTCTAAAAGTTTACAGTCAAGAAAACCCTATGGGGGACAAAAGATTATTCACTGGCTAGAAGATGTTGTTTTTGTTATTGTTAAGTGCTGTCAAGTTGGTTCCGACCCATTATGACCCTGTATTGGGTTTCCAAGGAGCGACTGGTGAGCTTGAACCACCAACCTTGCGGTTCAAATAGACTTTGCAGTATAGCACATTAGCCCACAGCACCACACCAGGCTAGAGAATAGACATATGTTAATAGAGGTGATGAGGCAGGCCATATACAACAAGAGGGAAGGTTGGCAGAAGAAACATTAAGGTAGCAGGAGACAAAGGGAGGAGTGCAAGAGTTAAAGGAAATAGAGACAAATACTGTTAACTGATGGCACATGGAGGAGACTGCAATCATTGTAATGGAACAAAGTATAGATATGTTGAATGTGAAACTTATCTGCTCTGTAAACCTTTACTCAATTCACAACAAAGCAAAAAAAAAAGAAATGAAAATCCTATGGGGCAATTCTACTCTGTCACATGTGATCACTATGAATTGGAACCAACTTGATAGCACCTATCAACAACAACCACCTCACACTTCTCTCCTTAAGCCTCCCACACCCTACCCCTCTCGTCATTCTCAAATGTTGAACACATCATTTAACGAAAAACAAAATGAAGTATCAGACAGGACTTCTCCATCTTCCCACCCTCCACCCTCCAACCTGCTTGTACCCCAGACCACTCTACTTGTGCACTGGATCTTTTTTCTCACTTTCTCAGGAACTTCATTTCTGTACTTATCTCTTCTTTTCTCTGCAACATCAACTCTTCCCTGCATACTAAATCATTCTCATCATCACACATACTTGTTCTGCATCTCCCATCTTTTAAAATACAACTTTCCTTGACTTCACATCCTCCTACAGCAACCATTCAATTCTCCTCTTGCAGCAACACTTCCCAAAAACAGTTGCTATATACTCACTCTTTAAATTCTTCACCTCCCATTCACTATACAGCCCAGTTTCAAACAACTCCATCAGTAGTAGACAGCTGGAAGCTTGTGTTTGGCCTCTCCTGGACTCTGCCCTATGTGCATTTCTTTGCTTCTTTTAATTTGTTTCCTTTCACTGTAGTAAACCATAACCATGAGCTGAACACCTTTTCTGAGTTCTGTGAATCTTTCTAGAAAATCACTTAACCTGAGTAGTGTTGTGGACACTGACACAGGCACCAATGACCTCCCAGTGCTAAATCGAATGGATCATTCTCCGTCCTCATCCTACAGTAGTACCTCTCATCCTTCCTGAAACACCTACCTCTGTTGGAATTGGCACACATACTTTGCTAGTTCCCCTCTCACTCTAGATGTTCCTTCTCAACCTCTTTTGCTGCATCCTCCATCTAATATTAATAAACATTGCTAGTTGAGGCATTAACAGTCAAAATAAACTCATGACATCCTAGTTTTTCTGGGTTGACAATGAGTAAAGCATGTGAGCCACTGTATTAAGAAATCATTCCAACCACAGCCCCAGAATTTTACCCCTTTTTGAGTTCCTGCCACTTTAATTCCTATGTCACCTACTAGATTCTAGTAAGACTTTCTCATTTTCCCGTTTTTATATTTATACAGCTTTCCTCCAATTTCTTACCTTTCCATGATTAGAATTATAGATACTGATAAAGCTCTTCTACAATGCTCACTTGCATTCATTCAGTATTAATTGCTATTTGCATCTATCTTCCAACATTTGTGCTAGAGACAGAGATGCACATGGCAGTTTCAGCCCTCAAGGTGCTTTCGGTCTATTGTAAGAGACAAATAAGTAAACCAACAGTGGCAACAACGTGTGAAATCGTTGACTGGGTGTTCTGAATCAGCTCTTAACAATCTGACCTGGCATACCAACAGTACTTTTGACCTACCTCCTTATTTCATCAGTTAAGCAGACGATGTGTTCCTGCATTCTGCGCAGTCGAATCTCATAACGCACATCCTTGGCTTGAGGGTTGTAGTTCCTGGCATAAAAACCCCGCCAACAGGCCTGAAGCTTGGTGGCTGCTTCATTCAATTTCTGAAGGGTAATTTCATCTTTGCCCAGAGCAACAGATCTTTGGGTTAAAATCCGACAGGAAAGTCTATCTAAAGCAGTTTGAGACATAGTGTCTTCACTATCTGGCTGTGTATGGAAGACATTTTGTCCAACAGACTCAGGAAAAGATGTAAGACCATGGTTATCATCCTTTAAGACATTACTGGTTATTGCTGGCTCAGGACAAAGTAACAGCCCAATTTTCTCATTTACATCTGCAATGATCTCCCTTTGCTTTATTTTAACAGAATTCTCATTTGCAGTCCATAAAGCCTTTTCATCTTCTTTATCCAAGTCCTGATTTTCCAGCCCTTTCACAGATTCATCTTTAACACCATCATCATCTAGGTCCAAGTTAATACCCTGTAGTCTCAGCTCAACTGTAGGTGATACTGGAGATAATCCTGATGCAACTGGCATGAAAGTAGACTCTGAAGAGAGAAGACTACAGTTTAGCTTGTCCTCATCTGTCTGGATGTCTTCTAAGTGTAGGTCATTTCGAGAATATCTTGTAGTGTGTACAGAGGCTGGAAAGTTATTCATAACAGCATATAGATGATCATCTTTATTGCTTATGCCAATCCAAGAATTGACTTGAATGATGGGTTCTAGAAGCATAAAGAATGCAATTTACATTGCTAAATATTTAAAGAATTTCTTATTTGTATCTTTCTAATTAAATCTAATCCCTTAAATTTAATAAAATGCCTTAATGATTTCCACCACTGTGCCTAAAATATCAAACCAAAGATTCTTTAAGAAAATGAATATTTAATCTAATCATAAGAATCATATCATCAGCTCTAACAAAAGGCAGTAGTGCATAGATTATTTAAATAAGAAATACAAATCATATATATAGACATCTGCATATATGTGTACATATATATGTGTGTACACATGAGAGAGCTTCAAAAAGTTTGTGGAAAAATAGAGTTAAAAGGTAATGGAATTTTTTCACAAATTTTTTTGTACCCCACCCCTTGCATACAATCTATTGATTATTTATAAGAGAGGGCTTCTAAAAGTTCATGGAAAAATTATACACTTCCACAAATTATTTGAACCCCCTCATATTAACCAACTAAAACAATTATAAAATATGTACTTTCTTCTGTTTTATGGTCCCCAACATATTAAATGACTTACCACTTTCCTGGACTACTTGGCAATCATGAACAGGACTTGAATGCTCAGGGACAAGGGGTGACTTTGTTTCAACAGGAGCAAGAGAAGACAATTCTTCACTTTGGCTTTGATTCATCAACTGTCTCTGGTGAAACCTAAAAATCAACAGCTGATATAATTTCAAACAAAACAAACACACACACACAAAGAAAGCTTTTCTGCTTCCTAGGTAATAAAAATGAAAGTTCATATTTTAAAAGTTGATCATTTTTATCATCTCCAAATTATAAAGCCTCATTTGGAAACAATGGCTAGAGAAGATTAAGAAACATATTTTAAATTGCATAGAGACACTCTCATCTCTGAAAAAAGAAGTGACAACTAACTGCAGTTCAAACCCACCAGCTGCTCCTCAGAAACCCTACCCAGGGTTCCTAGGAGCAGAACCAACTCGACATCACTTGACAACTAAATGCATCCACCTATACTCTGGTAGTATAGTAGTTACGAATCAGACTGCTAACCTCACAGTCAGCAGTTCAAACCTACCAGCGGTTCCGCAGGAGAAAGATGAGGCTTTCTGCTCCCGTAAAGATTTACAGCCTTCGAAATCCTGTACAGGGTCACTATGAGTTGGAACCGACTCCACAGCATACCACCACCACCACCACACTTTTTTTGAAACATCCTCCCTTTGTTTCCTGTTTATGCCTTCTTTGCTATCAGCAAATGAACTTTATCCTTGGGTAAATACTGCCATTTTTATCTCAAATAATTGATTATTCTAAGATGTGAATATTTCATTAATGTTATTGTTGCTATTGTAAACCTGTCTGTGGTTTGGTTGAAGACTGAGGTCTAGCTATGCTTCTTAATGTTATTTAAAAACACGTGTGAAACATCCCCACCACTCATCTGTTAGTTTGTCGTACTGTGGTGGCATGTATGTTGCTGTGATTCTGGAAGCTATGGCACAGGTATTTTAGATCCTAGCAAGGTTACCCATGATGGTCAGGTTTCACATGAGCTTCCAGTTGAAGACAGACTAGGAAGAAGGACAGATGGACTACTTCTGAATATTTAGTCACTGAAAACCTTATGAATAGCAATGGAACACTATCAGCACCAGATTATTGAATACTGAAACATGATGAAGAGCACCAGAATACTGTAAGATGTAGTGCCAGAAGAGTCCCTCCAGTTTGATGGCACTCAAAATGCAACTGGGGAAGAGCTGTCTCTTCAAAGTAGAGTTGACCGCGATGATGCGAATGGGGAAAAGCCCTTGGGACCTTCATTTGTTGATAGGGCGCAATTCAAAATGAAGAGAAACAGCTCTAATATTCCATTAATAATTGGAACATGATATGTACCAAGTATGAATCAAGGAAAATTGGAAATTGTCTAAAATGAAATGAATAAACATCGATAACCTAAGCATTAGTGAGCTGAAATGGTCATTTAGAATCTGACAATGACAGGGTTTACTACACCAGGAATGAGAATTTGAAGAGGAATGGTGTCACACTCATCATCAAAAAGAACATGACAAGATCAGTAATGAAGTACAATGCTGTCTGTGCTACGATATCCATGCGCCTACAAGGAAGACCAGTCAATACCACTATTATTCACACTTATATACCAATCACTAAAACCAATGAAGATGAAATTAAAGAATTCTACCAACTTTTTCAGTCTGAAATTGATCAAACATGCAATCAAGATGTACTGATAGTTACTGGTGATCGGAAGGTAAAGGTTGGAAACAAAGAGGAAGGATCAGTAGTTTGAAAATATGGCCTTAGTGATAGAAACGATGCTGGAAATTAATTGTATGATAGACTCCTACAGGACCAATGACTTCACTGCAAATACCTTTTTTAAACAACATGAACCTCATTAAATGGAATACACAGAAATCAAATTGACTACATCTGTGAAAAGAGACGATAGAAAAGCTCCATATCATCAGCCAAAACAAGGCCGGGACAGACTGTGGAACAGACTATCAATTGCTTAAATGCAAGTTCAGACTGAGGCTGAAGAAAATTACAAGTCCACGAGAGCCAAAATATGGCCTTGAATATATTGTTGTTGTTAGGTGTCATCAAGTCCATACCGACTCATAGCAACCCTATGTGCAACAGAACAAAACACTGCCTGGTCCTGGGCCAACCTCAAAATTGTTGCCACGCTTGAGCCCACTGATGCTGCCATTTTCCCATCCATTTTGCTGGGGTCTTCCTCTTTTTCTCTGACCCTCCACCTTACCAAACATGATATCCTTCTCCAATGACTGGTCCCTCCTGACAGTATGTCCAAAGTATGAGAGACGAAGTTTGGCCATCCTGGCCTCCAAGGAGCACTCTGGCTGTCCTTCTTCCAACACAGATCCAACAACGATCTTCCTCATTCACAGTCCAACTTTCGCATGCATATGAGGTTATTGAAAATACCATGGCTTGGATCAGGTGCACCTTAGTCCTCATTTGCTCTTCAACATTTTTAAAAACTTTTGTGCAGCAGATTTGCCTAATGCAATACGTCATTTGAGTTTTTGACTGCTGCTTCCATGAGTCTTGATAGTTGATCCAAGAAGAATGAAGTCCTTGACAACTTCAATCTTTTCTCCATTGATAAGAATGTTGTTTATTGGTCCAGTAGTGAGGATTTTTGTTTTCTTTACATTGAGATGCAATCCATACCAAAGGCTGTGCTCTTTGATCTTCATCAGTAAGTATTTTAAGTCCTCTTCACTTTTAACAAGCAAGGCTGTATCATCTGCATATTGCAAGTTGTTAATGAGTCTTCCTACAATCCTGATGCCACGTTTTTCTTCATATAATCCAGTTTCTTGAATTATATGCTCAGCATACATGTTAAATAAGTATGGTGAAAGAATATAACCCCATCACACACATTTCTTAATTTTAAACCATTCAGTATTCCCATGTTCTGTTCAAACAACTGCCTCTTGGTCCATGTACAGGTTCCTCATGAATACAATTAAGTGTTCCGGAATACTCATACTTCGCAATATTGTCCGTATCTTGTCATGATCCACACAATTGAAAAAAAAATCCACACCATTTCTTTTTGGTACAATGACTCTGTGTACCTTCCATCTTCTTTTGATGCTTTCTGCATCTTTCAATATTTTGCCCATAGAATCCTTTAATACTGAATGTTGAGGTTTGAATTTTTTCCCACTTCCCTCAGCTTAAGAAATGCTGAGTGTTTCTTCCCTTTTGATTTTCTAACTCCGTGTCTTTGCACATTTCGTTATAATATTTGACTTTGTCTTCTTGAGCTGACCTTTGAAATTTTCTGTTCAACTCTTGTGTCTCCTCACTTCTTCCATTTCTTTTAGCATCTCTATGCTTTCCTTCTTTTTTGTCTTGTTAATGACAGTTTGCTTTCTTCCTGTATGATGTTCTTGATGTCATGCACAACTCTTCTGATCTTCAATCTTTAGTGTCTAATTCATCAAATCTATTCTTGAGATGATCTCTAAATTCAGGTGGGATATATTCAATGCCTGAATTTAGAGATCATCTCAAGAACAGAACTGATGCATCAGACTCTAAAGACCAAAGATCAGAAGAGTTGTGGATGACATCAAGAACACTGATTTTCCATGGGAGCAAAGTCTTACTAAATATAATACAAAAATGGCTGCAACCACACATTGACAGAGAACTTCCATAGGTGTGTATCAGGATTGTATTCTTTCATCAAACTTATACAACCTTATGCTGAGCAAATAATCCAAGAAGCTTAATTATATGAAAACTGTGGCATCAAGATTGAAGGAAGACTCATTAACAACCTGTGATATGCAGATGATACAACCTTGCTCACTGAAAGTAAATAGGACTTAATATACTTACTGATGAAATTCAAAGAGCACAGCCTTCGGTATGATTGCATCTCGATGTAAAGAAAACAAAAATCCTCACCACTGGACCAATAAACAACAACCATATAAATGGAGAAAAGATTGATGTTGTCAGAAGACTTCATTTTGCTCAAATCAACATCAATACTCATGGAAACAGCAGTCAAGAAATCAAACAACGTATTGCATCGGGTATATCTGCTGCACAATACCCCTTTACAATGTTGAAGAGTAAACATGTCAATTTGAGCACTAAGGTGCACTGGGCCCAAGCCATGTATTTTCAATAATCTCATATGCATGCAAAAGCTGGACAGTGAATAAGAAAGACCATAGAAGAATTGATGCATTTGAGTTATGGTGTTGGAGGAGAATACTGAAAGTACCATGGACTGCCAAAAGAACAAACAGATTTATGTTGGAAGAAGTAGAGCCAGAGTGCTCCTTGGAAGCCAGGATGGCCAGACTTCATTTCTCATACTTCAGACATATTATCAAGAGGGAACAGTCACTGGAGAAGGATATAATGTTTGGTAAAGTGGAGAGTCGGCGAAAAAGAGGAAGAACCCCAATGAGATGGACTGGTACAGTGGCAGCAGCAATGAACTTGGTGTAGCAATGATTGTTAGGTTGGCCAATAACTGGGCAATGTTTCGTTCTATTGTGCGTAGGGTACCTATGAGTCAGTCCCAATTCGATGGAACCTAACAACAACAACTATGAAACATCTACATTAACAGGACAAGTATAATGTTTTAAAATCCCATTCCAACAAGTGATTAGCAGTGTGGTTCTCAGGGAGTAGGGTGAGCTGGACTGCCCTGTATGATTCAGCTCCCAGCAGGTTATGTCACAGTGACAAGGGGCTCAAGTGCCCAAGAACAAATGGGGGTTAAAGCACTTGCTTCAAACCTATCAATCAGATTTATTACCACCACAGAAAAAAACCTCAGAAGTATTTTCATCTATGAATTCATCAGTTGTGGTAAATAATTGGGTTTACCTCTGCTTGCTCAGAATCTTCTCTAATTTCGCATCCTCTGCAGTTTGAAGACCCAGCGTAGAAGTGAGAGGACATACTGTAGCCAAATACTGGACAAGCTGGATGTGTTGGTTGGGCCGATACGCTCTCCCCTTGCCTTGACTATACAGCCATTCAGCTTTCAAACTGTAATGGGAGAAATAAAGGAGAGAAAATGGCACTGGGGTGGACAATACATGCTTTTAAGCATCAATGAGCTTCCTTCTCAGTTTATCTTTATAGAACAACTTAATATTTCTCATAAATGAAATAAATATAAAGTTCGTCCAAGTTTTTTGTTTTCTTTTTAAATCAATCTTTTTAACTCATTCCTCTTACTTGAATATGTTTTAAACCTTTTGTCTTGCTTAGGGGCACTTTCATAGCATTGTACTAGCGGTTCCAAGTATTTTTTAATTATTTTCAAAGAAGCATTGAGTATTTCCTCCAGTGACTCTGTCAAACTGCAGTACCTAAATGCACTAATTGTGTTTAAATCCATGAGTTCATAATGCCAGTTAGAAAAACATTAATTGATCACAGTTGGAAAAAGCTAGTAAACCACCAACTTATTATTTTAAAAACTGGCAAATAAAAGGTAAGACTGTTAAGATAGAATATTACTAATTCTATCTTTCATATGAAGTACTGGTGTGGATCTGTAGGATAAGCATTGGACTGCTGACCACAAGGTCAGTAGTTCAAACCCACCAGCTGCTCCTTGGAAACCCTGTACAGGATCACATGAATTGGAACTGACTTGACAGCACTTAACAACAACACCACCTTTCATATACAAACTATAATAATTGATAACTATAATTGAAATGGAGTCCTGGTGTGGGTTAATGCGCCAGACTGCAATGCCATTTGAACTGCAAGGTCAGCAGTTCAAGCTCATCAGCTACTCCTCAGAAATCCTATACAGAGTCACTATGGGTCGGAACCGACTCAACAGCACTTAACAGCAACATAATAGAAATAGTTACTTCATATAACCATTCCAGCTAATGAAGAAATGAATGACAGAACTGGAATTTACCTGTTCTATAGATGTAATGAAAGGAGCTCTGGTAGTGTAGTGGTTATGAATCGGGCTGCTAATCTCATGATCTGCAGTTTGAAACTACCAGCTGTTTCACAGGAGAAAGATGAGACTTTCTGCTCCCATAAAGATTTACAGCCTCGGAAACCCTGTACAGGGTCGCTATGAGTTGGAATCGACTCCACAGCACATAATAATAGATAGAATGAATTAATGAAGAATCCCTGGTATGCATTGGTTAAAGCACTCAGCTGTTAACCAAAAGATCAACAGTTGAAACCACCAGTCCATGTGGTAGTCCACTCCTGTAAAGATTTACAACCTTGGGAAACCTATGGGGTAGTTCTCTGCCCTCAAGAGTTCCTATGAGTCAGAACCAATTCAACAACAGTGGGAATGACTTAATGAAAAAGCCCTGGTTAAAGCACTCAGGTGTCAAACAAAACTTCAGTGGTTAGAACCCACCAGTCGCTTTATGGGAAAAAGATGTGTCTGTTCCCATACAGTCTTGGAAACCCTATGGGGCCATTCTACTTTGTCCTATAGGGTCACTATTAACTGGAGTTGACCCAGTACCAATGGAGTAGTAATGACTTAATGAATCTAGGCATTGATCTAAGTTAATACCACAAGAAACAAGAATAGGTACAAATCAACACAAAAAATCAGTTATGCTCCTCCAAAAGGGGAACTCCAAAAAGGAAATCAAGAGGGGGTAAAGCTATTCTTAATAGCCTCTAAAGGATAAAATACCCAGGAACAAACCTAACCAGGGATGTAAAAGACTTGTAAAAGGAAAACTATAAACACTACTTAAAGAAACTAAAAGAAATCTATATAAACAGAAAAATATTTCATGGTCATGTATCAGAAAACTCAACATTGTAAAAATGTCAATACTACCCAAAGCAATCTACAGATATAATACAATCCCTATCTAAATCCCAATAAAATGGCAAAACTAATCACCAATTTTGTATGGGAAGAGTAGAATTGTAACAAAAATGGAGGAGTAGTTAATCTTACCCACCACTAGTCTGTCAGTTTGTTGTACTGTGGTGGCTTGTTATTTGCTGTGATTCTGGAAGCTATGCCACAGGTTTTTTAAATAACAGCAGGTCATCCACGGTGGACAGGTTTCAGATGAGCTTTCAGATGAAGACAGACTAGGAAGGAGGAGAGACTAACTACTTCCAAACATTTAGTCACTGAAAACATTATGAATAGCAGAGAAATATTGTCAGATATAGTGCCAGAAAATGAGCACCTCAGGTTAGAAGACACTCAAAATGCAACTGGGAAACAGCTGACTCCTCAAGTAGAGTAAACCATGATGATGCGAATGGAGTTAAGTCCATGAGACTAAAACCCTTAGGACCTTCATTTGCTGATGGGGCACAACACAAAATGAAAAGAAACAGCTGTAAATATTCATTAATAATTGGAACAAGGAATGTACAAAGTATGAATCTAGGAAAATTGGAAATTGTCAAAAATTAAATGGAACGCATCAACATCAATATTTTAGGCATTAGTGAGCTGAAATGAACTGGTATTGGCCATTTTGAATCTGATGACCACATGGCTTAATATGCCAGAAATGACAAATTGAAGAGAAATGGTGCTACATTCATTGTCAAAAAGAACATATTCAGATCAGTTATGAGGTACAATGCTGTCTGTGATAGGATAATATCCATGCGTCTACAGGGAAGCCTAGTTAATACCACTATTATTCAAATTTATGCACCAACCACTAAAGCCAGTGAGGATGAAATAGAAGAATTCTACCAAATTCTTCAATCTGAAATTAATCAAACATGCAATCAAGATGTACTGATGGTGTTCAAGAGTAGACATCAGTTTGAGAGCAGAGAGCGGGACCCTACCCAGAGAAGCAGTGATGTCTGAACTGGAGCCAGAGATGATGACGTGGAGCAATGGAGCAGCTGGAGACTTTAGATCCAGAGAGGGAGAGCGACTGTGTGCTGAAGACCTGGGAGGTACGGGGGAAGGATTGCATGGAGGGGATTGTAACCATGGCAATGAGACGATATACGATAGAATGAATGTAAGACTGATGTTCTCCCATGTAAATGATCACATAATTCACAATAAAACATTAAAAAAAAAAAAAGAGTAGATATCAGTTTGAGGACTAAGGTATGCCTAACCCAAGCCATTATATTTTCAATTGCCTCATATGCATGTGAAAGTTGGAAGTGAATAAGGAAGACCACAGAAGACGTGATGCATTTGACTTATGGTGTTGGAGGAAAAAAGTACCATGGACTGCCAGAAGAACAAATAAAACTGTTTAAGAAAAAGTTCAGCAAGAATGCTCCTCAGAAGCCAGACTGGCCAGACTTCATCTCTCATATTTTGGATGTGTTGTCAGGGGGACCAGTCCCTTGAGAAAGACATCACGCTTAGTAAAGTGGAGGGTCCATGAAAAAGTGCAAGACCCCAATGAGATGGACTGGCACAGTGGCAGCAGCAATGGGCCAAACAGTAACACTTGTTAGGAAGGCGCAGGACAACGCAGTATTTTGTTTTGCTGCGCATAATAGAGTCACTTGAGTCGAACTGACTCAAAGGTATATAACAAAAACATTTTTCACTAAAATGTAAAAAAAAAAAAAAAGACATATTGATCATTACTGGTGATTGGAATGCAAAGGTAAGAAACAAAGAGGAAGTATTAGTAGTTGGAAAATATGGCCTTGGTGATAGAAATTATGCTGGAGATCACATGATAGAATTCTGCAAAATCAATGATTTGTTCATTTCAAACACCTTCTTTAGACAACATAAGAGACGTCTATACACATGGACCTCACCAGATGGAATACATAGAAATCAAATTGACTACATCTGAGGGAAGAGACCATGGAAAAGCTCTATATCATCAATCAAAACAAGGCCAGGGGAAGATTGTGGAACAGACCATCAATTACTCATATGCAAATTCAAACTGAAACGGAAAAAAATGAAAATAAGTCCACGAGAGCCAAAATATGACTGAATATATCCCACCTGAGTTTAGAACAGATTTGATACATTTTAACACTAAATACCAAAGACCAGAAGAGTTGTGGGATAACATCAAGAACATCATACATGACGAAAGCAAAAAGTCATTAAGAAGACAAGAAAGAAGGAAAAGATCAAAAGGATCTTAGAAGACACAGTGAAACTTGCTCTCCAGCATAGAGACAGATGCTAAATCAAATGGAAGAAATGAGGAGGTCCAAGAGCTGAACAGAAAATTTCAAAGGTCAGCTCAACAAGACAAAGTCAAATATAACAACAAATGTGCAAAGATCTGGAGTCAGAAAACCAAAAAGGAAGAACATGCTCTGCATTTCGCAAGCTGGGGGAACTGAAGAAAAAATTCAAGACTTGACTTTCATTATTGAAGGATTCTCTGAGCAAATTATTGAATGAGGCAGAAAGCATCAAAAGAAGATGGAAAGAATACACAGAGTCACTGTACCAAAAGGAAATGGTAGATGTTCAACTGTTTCAAGAGGTAGCATGTGATCAAGAACCAATGATACTGAAGGAGGAAGTCCAAGGTGCATTGAAGGAAGTGGCAAAGAACAAGGTACCAGGAATTGATGGAATAAAAATTGAAATCTTTCGAGAAAGTGAGGCAGCACTGGAGGCACTCACTAATCTATAACTAATCTATAACAAGAAACTTGGAAGACAACTATATGCTCGACTGACTGGTAGAGATGCATATTTGTGCCCATTCTAAAGAAAGGTGACCCAACAGAGTGAGGAAATCATCAGACAATATCTTTGATATCCCATGCAAATAAGTTTTACTAAAGGTAGTACAGACAAAGCTGCAACCATACATTGACAGAGAACTTCCAGAGGTTCAAGCTGGATTCAGTAGAGGACATGACACAAGGAATATCACTTCTGGTGTCTGATGGATCTTGACTGAAAGCAGAGAATACCAGAAAGATGTTTACCTGTGCTGTTTTGACTATACATAGGCTTTCAATTGTGTGGACCATGACACGCTATGGACAGCATTGCAAAGTATGAGTATTCCTGAACACTTAATTGTGTTCATGAGGAACCTGTA